TACAGCTTCTGCCACTGGGTAGTTGGTCTTCCCTCTCCCCCACTACCCTTCCACAACTCAGACTCTTTCAACCATGGTTCTGACCAGGGTTTTCTTGACAGTTTATTGGATTTATTTTCTTCACAAATGTTATGATAGGTCATGGATAAGCTCTGATCTCTCATATAGTGACACATAGTCACATATAGACCCAAGATTACATGCTAATTACACAGGGGTGGTTTCTAAGTACGACAGAATTTCAGCTAAAAAAAAAAAAAAAAAGGCTATGGGTAGATATGGGATACAAGCACAAGAAACCACACCAATGAACGCATAGACTGCTTTCTGTTAATGGCTGGACAGGACCCGGTCCAAAGGCTCAGGAGCAGTCCACTTCTTAGAGCTCAGACACGTGAAACTGTGTGCTAAATGAGACAGTTGTTCACTGCTGTTATTAGAAGGAATATGTTTGACATGAACTCTAAAAATAAGGAAATCCCGAAGGCTAATCCTTTTCCCACATTTACTGTGATAACTGGCAATGTACAATGCTCTGACTCTATGCACTTTAACCATGTCATGGTGAAAAGAAAATTCAGTCTTGAGATTACTGATAATGGCAGCTGGTTATACTTAACAAAGAAACACAGCTTGTTCTTGTTATTCACCACTAACTCTGAGGCGGAAGACAGCATCTTTCATACACTTACAATTGGTCCAAAATAAATTCCTTGTCATCAAAACCATTTAATAACTTATATCAACATCTGACAAGGTAAAGTAACATATGCAGGATACAATCCTACTTTTAAAATTAATCATCCTTAAACAATACAAACAAAAAAAAGAGGTGATGTAAACTGGTGTCCCAGAGACGGCTAATGTTCTACAGTGAAGAGAAAGTAAAAGAATTTTTAAATATACATAGAGTAATCCACTGGGGGAGGGAGGGGGGGCAGAGAAACCAAACCATCACACAGCAAAAACATCCCAGCTTTTAACACTGATGTTGATAACCCTTCAGCTGGTTCTTCCCAAGTTTGGATTCAGGAAGTCAGACGTATTATGTGAGATGAAGCAATCCAAAAGCAGAAACAAGGTCCTATGAACATGTGCAGACTTGCCTCTAGGTGTCAAAGAGATTAAGTCCCAGAACTGCAGGCAGCCAGGATCAAGGACAAGGGAGTTTACAACTTCAGAATGTGTCAAGCTTACTCATCTATTACTTTCTCCAATTACCTTTTCTCCTATATATCTTCTGCAAGAAATGGTCCCCCAACTCTGACCTCAAGCATAGTTTTTGAACTTGTGAAAACCCACAATAATCACCCTCACCAAACCTTGCTCTTCTTTGGAACATACCTTGTGATCTTGTGATGTATGGAAGACACATAGAAAATGTGGGTCAGATGCAGCCTGCCTAAAACTTACCTGTGCTTTAAGGGCTGGCTCTTGGCTTTTAGAAGTGCCAGTAGGGAGATTGCACGTGGAAATGTAGGTGTGGCCATGGCTGACTGTTTCTTTAAGAATAAAAATTGAAAAGCATGAAGTAATAAATTCTACTCTTACTGCAGTCAAACATTTGTAAAATAAGCTACCCACAAGGTACGAATCTCACTGGATGACTCAGACATTATTTATACTTATCATTAACTTCTTGCTGGCAACATCACCATATAACGTAAGACACCATTCAACACGATCAAGGCAACATTATTGTACACCCTAAAATTAAGCAACATAAATTTAGTTATTCTCAGAATAATTAGATCAATTTTTCATTAGCACTTTGGGCAAGTCTGTGATTTTATAACACTTCAGCTTAGTATAGTGACCAGTTTAAACTAAAAATTTGTTTAATATATTGTTGTGCAACATAGATTTAATAGTAGTTTAGATCTGTAAGTTTGGTGGTTTTCGGTAGTCTGTAACTTTTCATTGTCGTTTATCTAAACTGTGAAAATATTAAGTCTGTGGGACTATGACCATTATGCCAAGGTCAAGTACACTAGGAAAAAAAAGTCGCTTTATTAAGAAGTTCTTTGAAAAGTGCTGTAATTTCCAAACATTCCTCAGGAATTACAAATTACATTAAACCAATCTTCATTCTATTTTATAGCAAAGTAGCAGGCTTTGGAAGATCACAGAATCACAGAATAGCTGAGGCTGGAAGGGACCCCCAGAGTTCATCTGGTCCAACCCTCAAAGCTAGGCAGGTGCAGCAGATGTTACACATCTTGATATTGGTCAAGTTTATTATTTTCATCTCATATATAAAATTCATTTGAATACTACAATGTTTTCTATTTGTATTTGTAATACACCAAATTTTGTGTGGAAAACCACACAAAAATAAATAGCAATAATTCTCTATCAAACTCAAAAGTGTTTAATAACTGGATCTACTTCATATTTAGGTACTATTTCTATTTGTGATTCTGAAAGTGGAATTGACACAACATTTATCAAATATGAATCATATTGCAAGAACACCTGAACAGGGATTAAAAATCAAATTGGTCATGACAAATTGAAAAAATTACCTGAAAAAAGAGAACACAATAACAGCGATGGTTACATATGAAGGAACAGTCTGTGAATACAGATAACCATGAAGCAGGAAAGCCTTTGGAAACTTTGGGGTTTACAAGAAGAATATGAATCAGGAGCACAATATTCAAGGTGTTTGCTCCTTTTCTGCATTACGGGCAAGTTTAACCCAGAATACCATTCCCATTTTGGGTATCACACTTGAACAAAGACATGGACCTAATGTAGGGAAACCAGCAAGTGGAAAAGCTCGACCACGGATCCCAGAAACACAAGAAAAGTTGGGAAGATATGGGGATATTCTGAAGATTGAAGAGGAATACAGGAGTCCTCAAAAAGAAAGGCTGTTTCAGAAAGGGATCTTGGCATCGATAGAGGTTTAAAGTGGAGTGACAGAGGTGGAGGTCAGACCTCAGAAAAGTTTCCTTTATGCTAGTCAACCAGCCTAGGCTGTGGGGAGTGTCTACTGCTGGTACTTTTTAAGAACAGGTGGAACAGTAACTGGAACGCATGAAGGTGGAGCTGCCTCTGCCTTACAACAGGGGTCTCTATTGGCCTTGCCCTCCAAGACTGTCCTTTCACAGTTACTTGTTTCACTGCAGTCCTGCCCTGGCCTTACCCCTTACATCTGTATTTAGCTTTCAGCTCATTCCTAAAGCCTCAACCACCCTTATAGTGAAGAAACCACATGGAATAATATAATGAGCTGGTGTAATGCTCCTATTCTCATATGCATTATTCTCTTCTTTCACTTTAATCTTTCTTGTATTTTAGGGAACATACACCACCCTGTGTTCATGCAGGCATGCACATGTGGGTTTTTTTAAGCACAAAAAGATCCCATTCCTGATTAGCCTTAAAATGTCCCCAAAATAAATGTTTGTTAACTCATGCTTCTTAATCAAGCTGTACCAGTACACCTCACAATGCTCACAGTTATGATGCAGTTGGCAATAGCTGAGACTATACAGCATACAGAGGTGACACATTTTTTTCTAAAATAAAACTATGAGTAAATATCTAAAAGCAACACTAACTTACATTATGTCATCAGTTTTCAAAAGGAAATTACGCCACAGATTAATGAGGAATCCTGCATAGAAGTCAAAGGTATGATGTAGTCTTATAGCATTAATCAAGAGCTAAATATCATCTGACCTACTTCAAACAGACCAGCCTTTAATATAGAGAAGATAAAAAGGCAGAGGACCAAGGGTCCATATTTATCTCTGGTGTAACACCAACAAAGCCAACAGAATTCCTTGAAGTTCAGTATGCCTCAGAGCACCACATGGCAAGCGCAACAGGTCATCCTGTAATCTGCAAGGTATGATGCGTTGAAAAAGCAATGCCATTTTCCGTTCCAATTTAGGAAACATTATAGTCAGAAATAAGATACCACAGGACCATATCTCAGAAAAATGCCTGTTTATTGTCATGCAAAAATTGATGTATCAATTAGCTAAAAAATTTTACTAATTCAAACATAAACATACTCTAGGAAGTCCTCTGGAATGACAAAATCACAAGGTTTCCCAGAAAAAATGATTTTTTCTATACTGTATGTGGTAAACATAATTATGCTATAAATAATATATAGGTAAAGATGAAGTTTTATATACAACTTTCTTGAAAAGTAATGAGGAATTAAATAGTTTATACTTTATTTTTTCAAAATCCTAAAACTAGGAGATCATTCATCCATTTGATCAAGTCAAACTTATTATTTTGATCCCCAGAGATAGTGATTCCCTCTTCCTTACTGCTGACACCAAACACGATAGTGTTCACAGACCCCCCTGAAGGTACATTCTAAAGAGACAGACATTAATAGATAATGACTGGGAACAGAACACATAAATACCTTTTGAAAAATTAACAAACCTGGATTTCCCTGGACACATGGGTAATATGAAAAAATCGCCTATTATCTTTTTAGAACATGCATCTAACTATTTCTCATTCATAACCTGCTTCTGGCTTTACACTCCCTGACAAGGGCCGCTATTTACTTGTGGTAATGAGAAGTCTCCATGCTGTTCAGAGTTGTTAGTGACTGACAGCACTTCACATTTAGCAGTTTCAATCACTCTGATCAGGATTTCTAACCCAAGTTCTGCATTTCCAGAAGAACATGACCCTTGCCAACAAACTGGTAATTCAGCAGTCCCAGGAAGGGGGGGGCTAAAGGAGATGCTAATTTCCCACTATTTCCAGCGCAGGTTTATGTCACCCTGTTTACATCATGCATCATTCATCTGCTGTGATGAAATGCAACCCTGTGTTTTAAAAAAAGACCTCTGCAACAGTGAGGATACTATATCTTTGTGAGAAGTGTTTCACATATTTTCCATTGGCATTAACTGCTCCTGCTTCTATTTAAATCTGTGTGACCCTCTTCGGAGGGTATTATTCACTTCAAGAAATCCATTGAGAAGGTGCTGAGCACAAGAAGGGGAAAAACCAGCATGGCAGCAGACAGCAGCCTGGCTCCTGAAGAAAAGCCGAGCACTGCTCCTGTGAAAAGGGCTGTCCACAAGATCCGAATGGCCAGCCAGGTCTTCAGCTTGGCGCGAGGTTGGCAGCAGTGGGCATCTGACCACCACATAAAGCAAGAGCAAGAGCCCTCTGGATGGGCCCCCACTGCAGAAGACTCATTAGCTCAGCCTGTACAAGAAAGTTCCTTCAAAAAATGGCAAATTCCATCTGTCAAGAGGGACCAAGGAAAAGATGATGAAAAATCCTCAGTGACAGTAAGAGATGCTGAAAAAAAGGCAAGGGAATCAGATGAAGCCCTCAAAATGTTCAACATTAAAAGCAAAGAGGTGACCAAAACCGTTGTCAGCAAAGCCTATGAACGAGGAGGTGACGTCAGCCTCCTCAGTGAAAGATATGAGAATAACAACAGCAGCTCAGAAATGACCAAGCTCAGAGAAGAATCAAGTGCTATTGACAAAATTCTTAGTGGCAAATTATCTCCAACCATAAGGAGAAAGTGTTCAACTATGGTATCAGACCTGACCAAGGGCTGGGAGCATATGGAACAAGAGGACGAAGAGGGATCTAAGAAAGATCTGCTACTTAAGTGTCGTGATGACAGCCTGGATGCCCAGGACAGTGGCTATGGGGAGGCAGAGGACAAACCCGAGCAGGAAGACAGTGACCGAGAGGTGACGGCTGTGAAGATTAAACGTCCTGTACCATCTCTGTAAGTAAAGCATCTTTATTAGATTATCACAAATGGTAAAGAGGTACAGCTTTCCATGAGGAAGAGGGGGGGGGGGAGAAGGGTAGGAAGTGATTAAAGATAAACTATAATTCTTAAATTAAAAGAAAAATTCAGGAAGCCTCTCATATATCTCTCTGTGCTTAATTAGTTAGTCAACAACATCTGACTATAGCCTAGGGTTTTATGTGCTATGTACATAATAGATGCAGACAGGAAATTATATTTGGGAAATGTTAATTATATTTAATTTTCACACTGGATTTACTGGTTCATGAAAATAACTACTTCCTTTTTACTACTATAGTCTGAATTTCAGAATATCAGCTATGCATTTATTTCAGCAAATGGTGTCTAAAGCAATTTATTTGACAAATAGTATTTTCAAATACTTATTGATTATTTTGCTTAGATTGTAAATATTCTCTAGAGCAATTTGCAGAGAATGTCCAAAATTAACATTGCATTAATTATTTCCAATTACATCTTATCAAAAGCTGGGTTCAATGCTTCACTTTGGAAGCTTTCCCATGCATTTGGAGTTCATCAATTCAAAGCAGAGAAACTTTCATGGAATCTGGGACCCCCAAACATATATTAAAAATCATCCAGCCTGCCTCGATCTCTGCAGGATTGATTTGAATCATGCTGTATGCTATACAACATTTGACAAAAAAAAGTTTGAGTCATCAATACATTCTTTAATATCAAGGTCTCTCTTTGGCACACTACAGTGTGGGGTGAGGGAATAGGGAAGTACATTCATTGAGTACATTATGGAAGTAGAACTTCCTTATACCTGTACATTGTGTGAAGAGAAAGGAAGAAGAATCTGTTACTTACCTACAGAGTTGTTATAGGTTCTACTTAAATATTTGAATTAGTAAATTCATAACATTAGACAGTTTTGAGTAAGACATCTTTCAGTAAGAGTCTTAGATTTGAAGTTTACTACACAACAGCAGGCACACATCAAATTTGGAGCCCAGGTGCTAAACAAGTAGTGTCCAGCCATAACCATGCAGTCCTTGAGAAGTCTCCTATGAGAGCAGAGGAACAACAGTGTTTGGTAGAAATTCTCCAGTTTCCATTCCCAGAGATCTCCAGCAGAACTACCTTCCCAGAAGACAAACAGTTGCGCTGTGGCCACACTTGCCATTAGGCAGATGCCAAACTAATTCATCTCTCTTTTGTTAGTAAAAGAATAAAAGCTCCGTATGTCCAATGCTGCAAGATGGGAAACTGTATGCACCCATTTTAGACATAACACACTGTGTGCTCCACTCCTCTGTTTTACAGACTTGGTAATGCCGTGGAACAAAGGCAGCAGAAAGGAACGTGTAGTTGAACCTGAACTGTTTGGGTGTGGAACTCACATCTGGCTATGACATTGCAATAAAGGGGAGCCCAGCCTCTGAGGCCAGTGGTGCTGAGCTGTGGCTGATGTGCAGCCCACATGTTGCCCACTGGCTTTCTGGGCAGGGCTGACATCTGGAGGGAAAACTTAAACTGAGGCAGAGCTCAGCAGAGCTCATCTGCCCAAGTCTGCAGGAGGGAAAAGGCTGGCACCAGGACATGGGTTCCTACTGGAACCATCCCATAGTGGAGCTTCTACACTATGTCCATCACCTGCACAAATGCAAGCTGAGTAGGAAGCAATTTGAGACAAGAAGTCAGGGCTTTAACCCCCCTAGTTAGCCTGTGGTCAAAGGGTGAGTAAGGCAGCAGGAATCAGAGGACCAAGGCCAGGATGTTCATACCGTATCCTAATCACCTTTTCAGAAATGGAAAACTGGGATCAGCACTAATGATGAAAAACTGATGAAAGTGCCAAAGCAGACTTTTTGATCCCTCTGCAGACAGGCAGGCAGGCAGGCAGGCAGGCTGTGTCATTCCCAATGCTTGGATTTTACACCTCACTACTGATGAGCATTTACCATGACCAGCATTAAACTGTGACCACCATAGTCATGGATTTCAACTATACAGTTCTTTTTAGCACAGCTTTCTGAGCACATGCACCCACACAGCTATTTTAACTATTCAGATGGGATTAGAATGATGCTTTGTTGTACAGCTGACCGGTCATCTCCAATAAGAAGCAAACGGTTTATAGCCAAAGTGAAAAAATCTCTCCAGTAATGTAGTGCTTGAAAGTTTGTGGTCCCCACTTTTGGTGAAGACTGTGTGCACCATCCTTTCACAGAAGCTAGGACCTCAAAACAAAGATTTGAAATATACAGTGGGAAAATTATATATTTGCAACACTTATCCATAAATAACCTCAATTGAAACAATTTTATTAGTTTAGAATGTTATAGTACAAATAAATCAACTATCTAGTTTCTGTTAAACTTTTCTTATGTTTTCATCTATGTCTAATTTTAGTGCTGCTATGTAGGAAAAACATTGATTATATTTACTGAGGTGCAAATGATTGAAATAACACCCTCTATGTTACTTACATCTCTCTCTTTTACTGAAATCTGACACAAAAATAATTTTCTGTTCTTACAGTGCTGTTATCAGGACTGGATTTTTAATTTTTTTTTTAAATTTATTTTATAGACTCAAAATATATTGATTCAGCCTGCTACTTTTATGAATCCACTCAATGTTGCTTAATCTTCTTCAAAAAGGTCATAAGTACATGGTAGTTAAAACATAGAAACATATCTCCCATTTTCCTCTCTATGTTTCAGGGAAAAAAGCATCAGTGCCAGTATTTTGTTTTCCTTGCATCAGCACCTTCATTATTTCCATCTGCACTATTTACTGGAATCAGGTTGCTTCCTTAGTAGAAGGCCTGTTAACTCCTACTGACATAGGAAATGCAATTTTGTTCTTGCTTAGGAGCCAAAGGGACGCAACAAAAGGGATATGAGACTTAACATATTAAAAAGGTATCCATACCTTTCCCTTACAGAAAGAGTCAGAGGCAATAGGGAACATGGATATTATCCTCCTAGAAGGTCAGAATGCATTTAGGATGATTATTCTGGTTAACAGGTTAACTTATTTAATTGTTACAGGTAAAGCACTTATTACAGTGGTTTAACATTCACAAAACCTTCATTTTGGATACACAATCCTTTTTGTAGGTGGCGTAGAAGCATGAAAAAATGCTTCTACATGTACACAGTTCACTGTGTTAACTTGTTGTTAAGCTAAACAATGGCAAAGATGCTCAGCCATTGAACCAATTCAGCCAATTCATCCACCAGAAATGGTTAAATTAGAAAATGCATTAAAAAAGTTAGTTACAGTAAGTTTTTTCAAAGCCATGTGGGGCATAATAATAGCAAAAGGACAGATAAGATGATGGTTTTCTCAACCACTGAGAAGATGATTTGGATGAGGAAGGTGATAATAGTATTCTGCTAGAAAAGAAAATTAAAGGTTTCAGTGGGAAAAGGAGGGAATATGTTCTAGACTGTTAAATTAAAGCAGGCAACAAAGACTTTATAGGCAGGCCCCTGCTATCTCACAATCTTCTTTCCACTCAACATGGGGAATTGAAGTTCTAGGACTTTCTCAGAGCTCATTGCCCTCAGAGAGAAGAGGGAGCAGCTGGCTGTGGCTGAGGGATAAGCCCTCCACAATGACAACTACTCATGAGCTCCACTGAGACTGTTGGCATCACTTCTTTAAGGCAATTTTGATTCACTTAGGATTTTTTGCCCTGGCAACTCCATAGCTAATAAAGTGATCCAGCTCCCCTAGTATTTCTGTCCCTGGCACTAAGTGTCTGCACTTCTTCCTCTGCCATTATAATGCTACCCAGTACTGGCATCTTCCTGGTGTACAGATCTGAACTGGGGACATCTTTATGAATCCTATTCTCTCTTTCAACCAGCTAAGTAGAAAACAAAGAAATGCCCAAACAGCAGGGAAACAAAATTTTCTGCAACTTTGCAGTCCTCTCTACCATTTTTTTAAGTGTATTTTGATTCTCTGATGTTATTGTTAACATTCAGCTGGCATTACTGAGGAGGTTTCAAAGCAGCCTTTTGGGGAGTAAAAATATTAGAAAACAAATTACTTTGGCACAGCCACAGCAGAGTCCCTAGCTGATCTCTGTACACACACAATGACAGGATGTGGACAGCACAAATACTAGCTCAGACTATCCGTAACTCCCCCACAATATGTGAAATCGGTCACTAGAGGAAAGAGCATCAACAACTTGTCTGTCTGGAGTCGTCCAGCACCATGATGTTGCACAAAAAAACACATACAACCCCCGCCCACACACACACACACAAAAGACCTCTGAAGGCCTTTCTTCATCCTTTGACATTGACACAGATTTCAGTAGCCTTAAGTTTCTTTCAGGCTTTTACCCTGCCCATGGGAGTGTGAATTTTGGACTTCAGCACTTGTTCAGAACCATACTTCAAATACAGAATCATAGGCCAAGCTAACACACTCTATTAGCTTGTTGTTGTTCCTTTGGTTATCAACAGCTATTACAGAGCAGAGATTTTTCTAGACCCTACCCTCTGCTTTTCCGCCAAGAACAGTGGAGGACCTAGACCATACACTTACAGTTATTGCCACCTCTAACCTCATGGGGGGCAGATTTCAGGCTTGGGTAGGCACGCAAAAACGGGGAGCTGCATGACTAACCAAAAGTACAGAAAGTGCAGGTAATTAGCAGCATACTGTTTTGTTCCCATACAGAATTAAGACATTCAGGGGAAAGTTTGCAAAAAGGAGCTCAAATGTGGGCTGGAGGGTGGTAGACAGGTATAGACAGGATAAAGCTGTGGTCAGCAAACTTGCATTTGAGTGCAAACTGAGTGCAGACTAACAGCCCCCAAAGAACTAATTTAGAAGAGAACTCGTGCCACCTGGTGGCTCCCATCTCCTCTGCAAAAACAGTAACCAGTTAACAGCAGAGATCAGTAGCAGAACTGAGCCATTAAACCAAGAGATGCGAAGCGCAGATGCCCTTTGTGTTTCTTTCAGTGCAAGCAGGCTGAGCGAAGAGGCCCGTGCCAACTCCCGCAGGAAACACAGCGCCGTTCACAGCCTGAAGGACAAGTGGCAGGAATGGGCCGACCAGCACATCATGACGCAGAAGCTGAACCCTTTCAGCGAGGAATTTGATCACGAGCTGGCCATGTCCACGCGCCTGCACAAAGGAGATGAAGGATACGGCCATCCAAAGGAAGGAACCAAAACTGCTGAAAGAGCCAAGAGAGCTGAGGCCCATATCCATCGGGAGATCAGGGACATGTGCTTCATCATCGAATCAATGGCTAGGCCACGGCCTGACGGCAAGATCCAAGTTACTTTTGGGGAACTCTTTGAGAGATATGTTCGCATTTCAGATAAGGTTGTTGGGATTCTGATGAGAGCCAGGAAACATGGGCTGGTGGACTTTGAGGGAGAAATGTTATGGCAAGGAAGGGATGATAATGTCATAATTACTTTATTAAAATAAGCAAACCAGACCAACTTTTGGAAAACTTTTCTCCCCTTCTCTCTTGCTATTAGCATTTGCACATGCCAGATCAGAAGTTGAATGACAATATAAACTCAGGCCAAGTTTTTGACTGGTGGAAGTGATCTTGTGCATATATTTCCTAATGATTTCATTTAAATGCCTATACAATTATTTTATTTGCATATAGAATCAAGGGTATCACATTTGTTTTACAAGCGGGATATGCAACTACTACTGCAGTATTATCTTGTGACAGCTATTGACACAGCATTCTCTTACATATCACATACAAAATCCTTCTTTTTATAAATGAGGTTTTATATTTTTATTGTATTTATATAACTAATTTATTAGGTAGTTTCATATTTGGAGTTATGAATGTTGCAATGTAATGAATAAAAATGTTTTAACTAGATAGACACTTAGAAAATGCCTTCTACGCAACATTGTGCAATGTATCATCTGGTTATCTATATTGATACAGTTCTTATAAACAGGGGAAAATAGTATGTAACATATAAAAATCAGCCAGGTACTTGTACTTTTGTATATAGCAAAAAAGTAACTAACATCATTACCTTCCTCTGAAATGTACCTCTGTGAGAAAAGATAAACCATGTTCATAACTTTGAGGAAATGTTGTTTCATATTACACAGAAACAGTGACCTAATTTTACAGAATTTGCTGTTACGGTGTCACTGAAATAATATATTTCAGTCCAGATGATGCTGAAGAGGAGTAAATGCTAATGAACTCATACTTCTAGGTCTTAAAATTGTTCGTATTATTCACAAATCCAAGACCTCTGTAAGGTCTTTAATAATTACTGGATTATAGAGATCACTGTTTACTACTGTAAAAATAGCTGTAAAAATGCGTGTGCTTCACATGAAAAGCATTTGTTTCAGAGCAAGATGCCTGGACCAGTAATTTGCATAATGACAAAAAAGTGGGGTTTTTTCCCATAAGATACTTTCACACTGAAAGAGCAAATATTGTCTTAAAAGTTGTATGAACATCTTTTCTCTCTGATAACCCAAATATTGCTGTCATATTAGGAGTACAGCACTTCAGTTTGATACTCCAGTGTACAAATAAATCAAATATTTAATAAGTTCTTTAGTCAGTTCTTGTATCACTATGTCTATTGTAAGTCCATGTAAATCATTAATATTTTAGGCATAGTTGTATGTTGTGACTCTAAAGAAGAATTAATTGTAAGATGGATTCAATGGAACGTACTTAGCAATGTTTTCTTGACATCTCTTATACTACTCAAGCTGACCTACACAACTGACCTCAAAGTGTAATGCTTACATATCATAATTTTTACCTGCATATTTTTAACTTATTCTTTACATCTTTATATAATGACCTTCACAGCTGTCTAAATTGTCTTGATGAAATTTTGTTGTCAAAAGAATACATGAATGATAAATAAAATCCTTAATTATTTCTTGTTTATTGTCCTACATAAATATGTGTGTATATTCTGGGAAGTAAAATATCAAGAAGTTGTTTAAAAAAATAAGTGCATTATCTTTTTCAAAGGCTGTTAAAGTATTTCCCTGTGAAGGTATTTCCTCTCTCTGTCCAAAGATCCAGAAAAAGATTTCAGGGTACATGGAAACAGTCCTTATGAAAAAAAACCCTATACAAAGAATACACACTAAAGGCAGGTAAGTGTTAAGTGAATTATATATTTCTGCTTGTGAGAACTCTCATCTACCACAGGAAAACACAGCAGAGGTACAGCTCACCACTGGTCTTTCAGTGTTATGTTCATGCGTGACTTAAACCCCAAGAGCACCTCATCACTGTATGAGGAATCAAACACATCTGCTTTCATTTACCCACCCAAGACAGTGAGCATGATATATTTTTGTACTGAAACACTGTAGCATACCAGTAAGTGGTGCATTTCAATATTTTGCATGTTTACAGTATGTAATAAGAGCTTGTGCATTGATACAAAGTCCATGACACCTACCACTCACCTGCAGGGAAACATCTAGAGTATAACTAGTCCTGCTGAAGTAGGAATCAAAAAAAACCTTCCTGGCTTAGGTCTTGAGCCAATGAAGTAGCCTGTAGAAACTTAATTTACTCTGATGTTTTTTCCATTTCTTCCTACCTGTTCAATAGGAGCATGAAGTATGGAGTGCCTCTTCTGCTTTATCTGTTCCCTGAGCATTTCCTCTAATGAAGAAATCATTACGTGAAAGGAAGGCAGAAATTGTCACCAAAAATTTTCATCCACATAAGAGCCATCTCTGCCTTGTTGCATGCCTACTGTAGAATCCCAGAAGGGGCTGATGTGTATGTCTCAAACACTTATAGCCAGACAGCTGTGGAGCCAACCAAGGATTGTCGGTAATAACACTCCAATACGAAAGAACAAGATGTGGCTTGAGAAGGGGCCATGTGGAGGTAAGGGCAGCACTTCTCATGCACAAACATCTCAGTTCTAGTTCCTAGAGAGAAGTATAACACAGTGAAATGCAAGGGCAGGAATGAGGCTGAGAAGTGGGCATAGACTGTAGGGGGGGATCAAGATCAACAAAGACCACCTAACCCACTTCTGGAAAGAAAGAAAATTCCCCGAATCTGAAAGAATGGACTGCACATGATAACTAACTTGCATAGAAAGTGAGTCACTATCTTCAGGGCAGGGAAAACCTATCTTTAAAAAAGTATCGCCACCAAGACTGGCTGCATGCCTCAAGACATCCTTTGGGCTGGATCAACGCTGGAACAAGGCCTAGTGATCTCTTTTACTCTTTTCTTTCCTTGTCTCTTCCCTTTCATCTTACCCTTTATCCAAAACCAAGTGCCATGTGCTTACACAGTATGTCAGGTACTAACACACCAATTTCCATTACACTTTTGTAATTTACTAATAAACCTTTCTGAGCTTTTGCAGACCCCTGACTATCACTCCTTTTGACCATGAGCATCTACAAATCTTGGGTGCTTCCTTCCCCTTAAGCATTGGATGCCAACCTACTGACAAAAAAGGCTAGGTTTACTGGATCACCAGCAGATTTAGTGCTGGCATTTTATTGCTCCTGCCCCTTAAGATGCAGGGAGGCAGACACCTAACATGGACTGAATGAACTGCTGGAATTCTCAAACACAACTTGCTCCAGGTTCATTAGAGCAGGTTAAGCATTTACTTTAGAGGCAACAATTGCTCCTAATCCAGTCGTATCCAGTATCCGAAGTTTAGCTATATCTGCACGAACTGAAATTCATAGAAGTCACCCACTTACACATTTGCAAGCAATTGATTATTGGCATTTATTTTTCTGCACACTCCTGTACAACCACCAGAAGTCACTATGGCCAAGACTACACTTTAAGAGTTCCATATAATGCCTCCACTAGTACTGGGGGCAAGACAGGCAAGGACAGACTAAGCTGCACAGCAGACTTCTCAGCCAAACTGTATGTAATTCAGTGACAGAAGAGATGAGGAACCTTCCTGTTTTCTCCTTTATGGAGCATAGTAGAGATAACTGAAAGCCTATAACTTTTATTCAAACACATTCAGCAACAGAATAGACTGGTGGCACTCCCTGAATTTCAATATTTCATTTAGCTGATGAACAGAACATAGAAACATGTTTTTTCTCTAAGTGCCAATTCCACACGTGTTTTAATTCCCTCCAGGGATGGTGACTCTACCACTTCTGTGGGGAGCCCATTTCAATGCTTGACAATTTCTGTGAAGAAATGTTTCCTAATATCCAATCTAAACCTTCCCGGTGCAACTTGAAGTCCTACCCCCTTGTCCTCCTGCTTGTTAACTGAGTGAAGGGACTGATTTCCCACCTCACTACAATGTCCTTTCAGGTAGCTGTGAGTGAGAATGCTCCTTTGAGCCTCCTTCTCTCCAGGTTAAACAGCCCCAGCTGCTCCTCCCAAGACTTGTGCTCCAGACTTGTCCCCAGCTCCACTGCTCTTCTTTGGACACACTCCAGCACCTCACTGTCCTTCTTGTAGTGAGAGGCCCAATCCTGGACACAGGATTGGAGGTGCGGCCTCACCAGTGATGAATACAGGGGGATAATCATTTCTGATCCAGGCCAGGATGCCATTGGCCTTCTTGGCCACGTGGGCACACTGCTGGCTCGTGGTCAGCTGCTGTCAGCAGCACTTTAAGAACTGACTTTACTATAAAAGATTGAGACAAAGGTGGCATTAACCACCTCAGCCTTTGTCACTGTTTCCCCCCTACATTCTTTAAATGATAGAGCTTCTCCCTAGCCCTCCTTTTGTTGCTGATGTGTTTATAGAAACAATTATGTCCCCTTGTGTATTGGAAGACACATATATGCGCATTTATACTTATCATATAGGATAAAAATAAGATTACAGTTTGAGAGAAAGGTAACATGAGATCAATTAATATTTGGAGAAAAAAAGACTAGCCTATGAGCCCTGTTTAAATCTCTCCTTGCCTTTAATCCCTTAATTAAGCTGTGTAACAATGTAATCACTACTATACATCATAAATTTATAGCTCATTGCAGGTAACTTAAGCCTCCCATGCAGTCATCCCCATGCTGTGTTAAAAACCATGCAACAAGAAAACCCCCAACAAACCAACTCTCCCCACCTTTTTCCATTTTTTCACTCAAAATACTTTATTTTCAATTGGATAAGAAAACCACACATGACTAATAATTTCTCATACTATCCTCCATCATTAACTTGTGAGTTGGCAGTATTGTGCAAAGCCACCTTATTTGTGAAGAGTTTATCATTTTTATGAAAGAGAAATACTAAATATTGATATAATTTATTATGTATGGAAGTATTTCATGTAAGTTATATACCTTATAACATTTTTTTACATGAAGTTGTGTGACAAGTTTATCTGCAGAAAGTAGGAGAAAATAAATCTGAACTCATTAAAAACAACAAAAGCACTCCATGAATTACTCACTAACTCTCCTACTATACTGTGTTACATTCCTGTGAAACTAGCATC